AGGAAATTAGGAAGTTAATAGATGAGAACACAGTGAGGGGAAAAAAAACTGAACAAAGAAACTAGATTAAGTCCAGTTAAAATATCAAATATAATTAAAGAAGAAAAATGTATTGGTAGAATATTAAATTATTTCAGTAACATTTCCGTCTAAAACGACAGAAAGGAAGTCAAGTTTGCGTTTGTGTTGAGACCCCGCTGACAGTTACCCACAATGCATTGCATGTGAACATTTGATCATACTTTTACTTATTTTACTCCTTAATGTTTTTGTCTTTTTGCTGCAGGACGTGTTTGAGTTCCGCTTTGCCAAGATGCCAGACGAACCCCAGATGGAGCACGCCGCCATGTCCATGGGCGGACACCCCTCCTCCTCCTCATCCTCCTCTTCCTCCTCCTCCTCCTCCTCCTCCTCCTCCTCGGAGAGCGAGCCCAGCAGCGAGAGCGAGGACAGTCCCAGCACGCCCAGCTCCGACAGCGAGGAGGAGCGCGCCCACCGATTGGCCGAGCTGCAGGACCAGGTGTGCACGCAGGTAGGTGTCCAGAGCTGCCCCCCCAGGGGTCCTCTGCAGCCTGCAGGAGCCTCGGTTGGATGTCCAACTCCTCCCACATCCAAGTCGGCTATTTTGATTAGGAAATGTGACTAGAAGATTTCTGAGGTGGAAACGAAACTTTACTGTCTGTACAAAATCAGAAGATAAACGATGTCCTAAGCCTAACCCTGACCCTAACCCTAAACCTGACACTAACCCTGACCATAAACCTGACCCTTACCTTAAATCTAACCCTAACCCTAAGCCTGAACCTACCCTGACCCTAAACCTAAATCTAACCCTAAACCTAACTCTAACCCTGACACTTAACCTAACCCTGAGCCTAAACCTAATCCTGAACCTAAACCTAACCATGACCCTGACCCTAACCCTTCATAATTGTGAGAAATCAATATTTTTGGGTTATACTTGTTTGGACTTATCGTGCAAACCTATTTAACATCCACTATTTTAACATAATATTATGGATAGAGTTTAATTCAGTGTTTGCAAGATTAATTTCACTATTTTTAATTTAATGTCTATATTGCCATGAAGCAATTAGAATTTTCTTGCCTGGGATCTTCCAATTGGTGACCTAATCAAAATGGCCGACTTGGATGTGGGCGGAGTTGGATATCCATCCTTGGCTTCCTGACGTTTTTGTCCAGAGTGGCGTCTCGTGTAAAACATGCTTTCTTTTCCAAGCTCCGGGCGGTGCACGAGCAGCTGGCGGCGCTCTCCCAGGGCCCCATGGTCAAGCCCAAGAAGAAGAAGGAGAAAAAGGAGAAAAAGGAGAAGAAGAAAAAGAAGAAGCTGGAGAAGCGCAGCCGGGCCGTCCGGAGCCGGGCCGGCTCCGAGGAGTGGAAGATGCCCGGAAAGATGCTGAAGAGCAAACCGGCCAAAGTGGGCGGGTCCCAGGCAAAGCGGAGCCAGGGAAAGAAGAGCAGCAAGGCCAGCAAGTGAGTGGAGAAACGCCCACTTGCACACTTCAAACACTTAGTTTTAAGTACAGTGGGAGAAATAAGTAGTTGACCCCTTGCTGATTTTGCAGGTTTGCCCACTTACAAAGAATGCTTGTTTTTCCTCATCAGATGGTTATCAATTTTTATAAATTCATATGATGTGATTTTCTGGAATTTTCTTTGGGATTCTGTCTTTCACTGTAAGAATGTACATATGATTAAAGTTATAGATCGTTGCATTGTTTGTAAGTGGGCAAACCTGAAAAATCAGCAAGGGGTTATTTCCCCCACTGTATATAGTGTAGATAACACAAAGGTTTACCCGGATGAGCCCCTAAAAACGGTCATCTGGCCGGTTGGGGGTGATAGAAAGAGAGGGCAAGAGAGAGAGAGAGAGGCCGAGAGGGACAGAGAGAGTGCAACAGAGAGAGAGAGAGAGAGAGGACAAGAGAGAGGGAAAGGGCAAGAGGGAGAGAGAGAGAGAGATATAGAGGGTGAGAGAGAGAGAGAGGGCGAGAGAGAGAGGGCGAGAGAGAGAGAGAGAGGGGGCAAGAGGGAGAGAGAGAGGGCGAGAGAGAGCAAAAGAGAGAGAGCAAGAGGGAGAGAGAGGGCAAGAGGGAGAGAGAGGGAGAGAGAGATACTACACAGTAACACATAGACTGGATGAAAAATGGCAATGATATTGATACTAATGATAATGATAACAGTAATACCAGCAATAAGACAATGAACAATGGCTGTAATTGTACCAGAGTCTCCCCCC